AAATACGCATAGCAACCCTCAATTGTGCTAAACCAACAAAGCAGGCAAAAGGTAAGGTTGACCAGGTTGTCAAACCAGATTTGAGAATACATCTCAAGTTGTCAAGAACCCCCATGCCGAGCCTCTGCCAGCCGCATCACTTACAAAGTCGAAGGCAGGCCTCCATGTTCGTTGCCTGCAGCGAGTAGGCCCAACGAAGATTTCTCTACTAGTATATTTCGTTACATGTCTATACCGTAATCCATAACAACAAGCCCCTGCAACATTTTCTCAAGCCAATACCATGGACACCGTGCGCTTAAGGAGTCAGTTTTTAATTGGTTTTAATATCTGGGGGGGGCGAATGGTCAAACCGGGAGCTCGGATCACATCTCCGGCCTTCATGTTGCTGTAGGTCTTTGTGACCGTGGACTCCGTGATACCATGCCTCGCTGAGAGCAATGTGAATTCACCAAAAGATCCAACAACTATATATATATAGTCAAATAACTTCACATGTCAGCCCTTGCAAACTCTTGGTTTTGGAATCAACATGCTACGTAAAAGGAGCAAACAGGATGTAAAAGTTCTGGTCACGGGTCATGTAGCTTCTATTGCTTGTCTGCCTGTGAGTTGGAGCTCGCTACAATCAACACAGCTTCTGGGGCTTGACACCCGGCGACACTGGTGAGAAATGAAAGACTCGGCCTATCACACTGCTCAAAAAAACATACGTTGGGCGATTCTTTTCGGACTATAGACTTGACTGGGTCAATAAAGGATGTCCGTCTGTCCAAGATTTAGATGAGCGGCACCGGAGGCCGAAGCAAACTTTTGCCATGGTCCGTTTCGGCGTGCCAACCGATGTTTGTTGAAGCCACCTGCCAATTGAATTGTTCAATTCCTTAAAACGCCTAAACTTTCTAGACTGCAAGTGAACACGAAGTAGAAACTTCATCGGAGGGGGAGAAAACGCATTCTTTGGAGAATCCGAAATGCACTAGTACCTCGATTCATTTGATGCCAAACAAAGGTCAACAAAACTGTTTTTTTCATGCTTGAATATCTTGATGCCAAGTGATGCAAAACGTGCTTACATCAAAATCCTCTCAAATGTACTTCTTGATACTTCTTGGGTTTTCTTTGTCACATTGTCGACACATCCCGTGGACTTGATGAAAGGACTTTCCTCGATTCCTTCAACTCTTAAATTGCAAGCCGTGTACAAGAACAATGCTGTTGAGTCATTGTTTATTGGCCCTCCCTGGTCGTGAAATGCCTTCATCCACTTGTACTTGTCACACGGAGCAAGCTTTGATCGCGTGTGCTTTTGCCGCACCCGATGGATGGTGTCGTTGGAGCTAAACTCCTTGGCACAAGTTCCACTTGCCATTGTCTGAGTTCAAGTGAATTTCTTTGATATGTCTGGTAACATTCAAAGAAGTCGTCAAGCAATCACAACAGCAACCCGCAATTGAAGCAAACCATTAAGACGTTACGATATTGAGACACAACATACATCGGTATACATCTGTGTATATATATAGCTATATTAGGCATGAAACTACATGCTAACATGTGGGGGTTGTCCAACAAAGCTCTTCTTTTTGAGCTTGTATCGCCGGCCTTTCGCGGTCCTTTCGCGTTTGCAGAAAAACCACAGGCGTTCCTTTCGCGCATTGTGATAAGCTTGTTCCATTGCACTGAGTTCACAGTGTTTGGGATATCTAAACAAAGGTTTCAAGGCCATGGATGGGCAGATGCCCTTCTAGGCAATGCGCCCTTTCGCGGGCCTACCGCCGGCCTTTCGCGGCCCTTTCGCGAAAATCCGTGTTTCTGTGTCATGCATTGTCATGTATATATATTAATGTTATGCACATTGTATGTTATAAGTCTAGGTTGGCACATGTCTTTCGCCGTCCTATCGCCGGCCTTTCGCGGACTGCAGTTTCCCTTTCGCGACATGTATGTTTTAACATTTCATCTAAATTCCTTCACTGGCAATAACGGACGGCCCTCATGTAAATATGACACCCTTACACCCCCCAAAAAACATGGCACATTTAAAATTCGCAAAGAGCACCATCTACCCCACCCAAACGTCAAGTTCAAACAGCTCCCCTTTGCTTTTGTGCTAGGAAAAAAACAATAAAGGTCAGGAAAAACCAAGGAAAAGGAAAAAGGAATCAGGAAAGCGCAACATTTTCAGACGAATGAACGAACGAACGATAACGGGGAAGGTAGCCCAGCAACTAGACTAAGGCTGACACCAATAGTCATGAACCGCCATGGGCGCCCCGGCCCAAAGCGCGTCCACGCGACAAGAGGAGTAACATTTATACAATCTAGGAGGTCACCTGAACTTGCAAGTAGGCATAAACACAACGAGGCCCCCAGTGCCTGCAGAGTATAGGTAAGTACTACCCCTGCTGCGCTCAAAACCGATCGCTTTTTCATTATGGGGGGTGAGCAACCCCCAGCCACATCCTCATTGACCAGCCCCCGGGCCTTCCCGCGGCCCTTTCCACCTTGGCCCGCTCCTGCCTGCGACTGCCGCCCTTAACCGGCGCGGTCCCGGCGCTGCTCCCCCATGCACCCCATCAGCCGCCTGAGCCTTGCTTGGTCCACGTCCGCTTCCTTTTCTCCCCTCGAGTCTTAGCCCACCAAGCCAGAATGATACTGGGCAGCTCAGCAGCACCCCAAGCGCGGGTGAGGACACTGTTACATGCTTTTCCACCCTGTTCCCGGACTCGCCCATCCTGAATGTCACGGTGACTTCGTTCTCATGTTCCGGTCGACAGGGCGCCCCAGACCGCCCGATGAATGATATTTTCCCGTCCTGAATGGAGAACGCCTTGCACTGATTATAAGCCGGTCCACCCTATCTTCTGTCTGCTCAACCCGGCCCCACAACCGGTCAAGGTTGGGTTCCAACTGATCCACTCGAGCTTCAAGGGCGTTGGCCATGACGGTAAGCCAAGAGTACAGGAAAGCTAGACAGGGCTCTGCGTTTGATCCAGGGACAGCTACGAGGTACATTGTCCATGGTAACCAAGAGTGAAAGGCAAGCGTCGGCCAATGACAGAAGTAAAAATGTCCAACAAGGATACAGCCAACCTTGTTGTTTTTGTTCTTTTGGCCGAAGGGTCAGGCAGCGTAGGTCTCGAGACAGGCCGCCAGCGCCAAGCCCTGCGAGCGTCTTGCTTCATATGATGGGCCGTGGTGATCATTGCCTAGCGGCCCAAACTTGCCGGCGCCAGTAGGGAAAGGTAAGGAAAGGAAAGGACATGGAAAATAATGATATACAAAGGAACAGGAAAAGGAAACAGGAAAACGGAAACGGAAGAGGACAATGCCGGGACCAACACGACTGCAGCACAAGTCACAGGGCAAGGAAAAGCGAAGGGAAGGAAAAGGAAAAAGAAGAAGAACAGGAAAAGGGAAAGGGGAAAGGGAAAATTGGAGGGCCAGGAGTGTATTGCTGCACGCATATCATGGGCTGTGGGTGCTCATTGCCTTGCGGCCCAATCTTGCCGCTGCCCAATGCCGGACCAACAAGCCAGCGCTGCAAGTCCCAGGGCAAGCAAAGGAAAAGAACATAAAAAGGACACAGGGAAAGGGCAACGGAAAGGACAGCAGCGCAAGGAGTAGATGGCCCCCAAAGCCTTGCGGCTCAATTCTTGCCGCTGCCAGTACCGGGACCAACATGACAGCTGAAAGGAAAACGACAAGCGAAAAGAGAAAAGGAACATTTTTTGGTCGCAAGTGCTTTTGATGGGATTGCGCGACCTACGCGGTTTTCCTTTTCCTTTCATGTTCCTTTTCAAGCTTCCTTTTTTGTATTCCCTTTTCCTGCTTCTTTCCTTTCCTGGGGCTTGCGCTGCTGTCCTGTTGGTCCTAACCCTAGCAGCGGCAAGATTGGGGCTGCAAGGCAATAATCATCCACGACCCATGATATGCACTCTTGCCCCTCTAAAAAGTATTGAGCCATCTACTCCCTCATGGTTTTGCTCTGCGGTCGATGGGTGAGTGAATGCAAAAAATAACCAAAGCTTACAAAACACCACTGTATATTTTGTTAAACCAAATTCAACCTTAACATAGAAAAATCGGCGCGGTGCGATTTCCACAATCGCCTTTGATGGCTTCTTGCATGATGACTCAGCCGAGACTCTACTGCTTGTGGGCCTGCCGCCTGAGTGGCTCAAATCACTGTATGCGTCAGAACACACTGACCTTTAATGAACAAATATCCATGCTGTGACGAGGGCCTGCAACCATACTGGCCTTGTAATTCCTATCAGGTTTTGGTTCGCATTTTTGCAGTACAGTCTATACAGTATAGTGCAGTAGCATTTCGGGTCTATTTTTCAGGTGTAGAACCGGCTATCCTTTGTACTGCTTCTTTGCTATAGCATCACTGTTATGCCGCTATGCCGCATGCCTGAAATGCACTAAAGTTCATGGGAGAAAAACATATCACCACTCTGCTGCTCTCTCACGCATTGATACAGTTGGCCTCGCAGTGGGATTGGTAGGACTCTGAGGTGGAGTTTTGCAGCACAAAGTTGCCTGCGTGTCCGTCATCTATGTCGCATGGAATCTCATGTCCCGTGTTCTGCGGAAGCCTTCTCTGCAAGGGAAAACAAAGTCAACAGCCAAAGCAGCTTGCGAACATTGACAAACCACGGTTATGGAAATTATTCTTGGCTGCACAATCTGCATAGCTCCTTGCCTAACTTCCTTCTCGCCCACACCTGAAGTGGTGTTCGGAAACACACCAAGGATGGACGAAGCTTCAAATACAACCAAGCGGTCCTCAACAGAACTAGCCACAGCAGGGGAAGGAACAGGTGATTTTCTCTACCTGCCCGAATCCAAATAAACGTAAAACACAAGGCTTAAACCACCAAAAGTCCCACATACAGAGCAAATTTTGGGTTGCATGAAAGGGTTGGAGAGAACACCGCTGTACCTAAAATGAACTCCTAGACATGAGCCAAACCGCTTATCGCCCCTTCAAACCCACACTGTGGCACCTCCTTCATTGACACGTTGTTTCGAGCACACCCGCTCCTAGTGCGACGAGGATAGCAAAAGGTGTCTGGATGGTACGAAGGGCAATTTTGATCATGAATGATAATGTCGCACGAATATTACATAGCAATTGGTGCATGGCCGTGGATTGGAGATATTACTGAAACTACCAATCAATGACTCTGTGAAGGTGAAGGTCATCACAGTGTTCAATGCCGAACCCCCCTTCTTCAAAGGACTGATCAGTTCTCGCAAGTTGACAACATCACCCCGTTACTGTATATAGTATTATATAGTGGCATCGACAAAGCTCTTCTCCCTGGTGGATGTGCTTTCATGTCCAAGCACTTGCGCTCCTCTTGTCACTCAAAGGATGCATGCTCATAAGACGTTGGTGTGGAGGCCCCCCAACATACGGCAGAAGCCGACGAAGGTACTCCCCATCCTGAGCGCAAAGTAGCGCAGCGAACCCAATTGATTCCTTTTGCGGTTGGAGAAAAATGAGAAAATGATGAAGCATAAGCATGCTGACTATAGACAAGGAAGAAGAACTCACTGGTCACCCATCTCATCTACGAGTACATTGCAAGAACCATGAGTTACATACGAAGCTACTAGTAACAAGGACGTTACTACTAGTAGCAAGGGCGCTGCTTAGTAGCTCCTGGCAGCATCACTAGTGACAAGAAACTAGTATGTCTAAAACAATGCTTTCTCAAGGCGTGCTGGTAGCTAGCATTCTTCCTTTGTTACTATATATATATATCACCAAGCGCAACCGGACTCCATGCAGAAACGTTGCCGGTCTTGTGCCAGGCCGCAGGCCTATGCGCAAAAAGACCCCGAGTGAAAAGCATGCCAAGACGCCAAGGTTCTTCCGGCTCCTTCTGATAGGAGGCGGGCAAGCAAGCACAGACATTCATCTTCAATCCCTGGGGAGGCTCCACAGATGGTGGGAGCGTGCGGCCATCTGACTTCGCAAAGGAAGTATGAAACGATCCTGGAAAAGCTTGCGCGTCGTCTCTCTTAAAGAGGAGCTGCATTGCCAATCGAATCTTCCTGTAAAAATCATGGTATGTGGCAACATCCTTGTCGAAGGCCAAAAGCCCACCCCGGTAGACATTAAAAAGAACTGCAAGCTCGCAAAACGAGACAGAATACTCATCACCAACTCTCCATCTCAATGCTCGAAGAAAAGTGTAAATCTCTGTCCAGTCTGCCTGGGAACCATGCCATTTAGCTGGATCAGCGCAATTATGTGGAATTTTCGGTTTCCACGGAAATGTGGACAAAGCCATTGCTGGTGGCCTATAGCGCAGCAGCTTCCAACCTCTTTCCAAAACCATCATTCAGGGGAGTCATACGGTTCGCAAATTCCTTAGCAATGTAGTCTGCAGTTCTGTTCCGCTCAATATTATGTCTGACCGTGGTACCATGTGCTTCTGCAAGTTCTGTTGAAATCATAGAAATCGGCAAGTGCTCAAGCTTGTGCGCTGGGATCCAGGAAATTGTGGAAGGCTGATGATGAAAAGGAAGGCAAGATTGAACATGCTTTTCCAAAAAGATCAATCAATCATAACAACTCCAATCAGCACCTGGGCTACTTCCTCCAAAACCTGTGCTGCCTGTTGCGCAACGCAACTGTTTTGCAATCGGTCAAATATGCACCCGAAAAGGAGTCAAAACGCAAGCCTGGATACAGTAACAGCAAATAGCTCAGTGGCGTATGCCGCCGGTTAACAAGGCCACGCTTGAGCACTTGGCTGCTTTCATCAGCGATGGCATAGGCTCCAATGGTATGTTGGACTGAGCCATCAGTCCATAGCTCATAGCCTGATGAGCTCGAAAAGCCTCCTGATGCAGTACAACTGGTCGTGATTGTAACAATCTCCTTCTTGCAAGGAATAGTGGATGTTCAAAGATCTCCCCAAGTTCATGATGAACTGGTGGGTCCAGCGCAGTATGGAGGGCAGTGCAATCGCGCAACAAATGTGGCATGGATTCTTTGGCTTCATGACAGAATCTGCAAAGGGCGCTCGGGGCCCATCCCGCTGCTGCTAATCGATCATTCGTGAGCACGCATCCAACAACAATTGAATGAACACGCTGGCTGTCGGTCAGACCAACAGAAGGCTGAGGTTTGTCTTTCCTGAGCATAGCAGAGCTGAGAAAATGATCAAGAAGCCCTTTGGGTTTCACGACATCTTTCCTGGTTTTGGGGTTAACCCACATGTAAGCCGTTTGTCGTGCAATGTGTTTCATAACGAACTTCAACTCTCTGCTAGACAAATCCTGGAGTATAATGGGCGCAGATTGCGCATGTGACACCGTGAGATCAGAAGTCAACTCAAGCTGAAGAACATCACAGGCATGCCGGAAGCGCGCCGCTAACCAATGACTTGACACAAATTGAGTAGCAAAAGCACCCTTGAGGTAACCTGTTAGAGACCCTTGGGACTTGGTTAAGTGCACAACTTCATTCAACGTGGTGACAGCACTAGCAAGAATGGGGTCAATACGATGAGGCTGTCCATGGTTGGCTTGCACTAGCCACTTTGCCCTCCATTTGGGTCTACCGGCCCATAAAGCACGAATGACAGCATTTTGGATCAGCAGAGCTGGCCTCATTGGTAGGGAGCTTTTTGTTGGGCTTGTTAGGACCTTTGCCTTGGCAAACGGCACTGGCTCCACACGCTGCACAAGGATTTGGTGGACTTGTCCATGGATGTCCAAGGAAAACTGGCCGACGGGAATGTCTTTCTCACATGTGACAACCCACACATGAACACCCGCTGATCGACATGTCCGCGTCGGCACAGTCGGGACGCCAGTAGCTTGCAGGACTGATCGGACAATGTTGGGTGCATCGGTACCGGCTGGCCAGCCTGCAAGTTCGAACGACAGGCGAGGAATGACACGCCTGTTTTCCTCAACAATTCGAGGGTCGGAGGCTAGCAGGGCCTTCCTGGCGTCGACAATCTTGGCAATCCAAATCCTAGGCGCAAGTCCCCACGCGCATGCTTTGCAAATCAGCCTGAGTCGGAGGCCAAAAGCGAGGAAGAATGCGGTGCGAAGAATTGCAGGCGCATTCATGACGGGAGGTGCTCATTGTGCCTCACTTGTCACCTGGATTCTGTGTGGAGGAATTTGCAGCATTCTTGCAACAACGAAGGTAGCAGCCGTATGCATGCGGTGTGGAAATTGTACAAAGTGCGCGTGAGCCTGATCTCCTTGACGCAGCAGTTCAATGGCTGCCCAGTGGTCATCAATTAGGACAGTGATGACATTGGTGACGTTGTTGAAAAGCACGACCTCACCAAACGGAGAAGCAGTGAATTGTGTGTCCTGCTGACTCCAGTAGACCGGTGTAGTGAACTTGAAATCCTCTTGCGTGTGCGTGATGCTTTGGGTGATGCTCCACATCTCATCGGCAGCGATCCACCCATGCGTGTTGCACATATACTCTGCCCTCTGCTGAAACGTATGCTGCTAGCGTTGGGGTCTGCCCTGAGGCAAGATGGTGACCTGCTGCTTTGATGTCTGCAGATCGAGCGTGCCTTGGCTAAGGGGCCCTGTGTGCTGAATCGCAGGGACGCCATTGATGCGATGCACATCAAACAATTCACCATCACGAGTGAAGGTAGGTAGCGCTGGCGCTTGTGACTCAACAACTACATGTTGGACCTCATCCTTTGCAGGCAACATAATAGCAACAGGAATGTTTCCATCAATCCCCTCAGCAAGATAGAAGTGGCACACCTTGACAGAGTGGCAGCTTTGGACACATGAATCAAAGATGGTGGTCACTGCAAGCTTGAGCTGATCCGTGGAGAAAGTAGCAAGTTGTTCTTCAAGACGAGGCCACTGCTCTGGAGGAAGAATGAAGGACACAGTTCCAGGCCACTGGTAGTGCACAAGGAATACTTGCAAATCACCACGCTGCACAACCGTCGCATTCTTACCGACAATCTGAAGAAACTGGTGGAAGATGAAGTCATCCGAGGAAGCTGGAGACGTCAGCTAGAGACTACTGGTCTCTTGCGCATGGAATGGCATAGTGGGGGATGGTGAGTCCACAATACTGGTCGGAGCATCAGTGCGATGTGGAAGGTAATATTATCACCAAAGTGGAACCTCTCAATCCAGCATTGCCAGACACCAGAAATGGAAGCAATTTCCCGAACGCAGCATCCACAGTCTTTGATACGTGTATTGCAGATCAAAACACTCTGCTGAATCAAGCCGGGAGGTGCACCACTCAAAAGCTCAAAGGCTGCAGCGAAGGTTGAAGTAGAGGGTGCCCGTACGACCACAGGAGCCGAAGTGCTGGTAAGCTGCAAAAGGACTTTCCATTCACCTTGTTCCGGATGGATGACCTCAGTCGAAAGCCACTGCGCAACTTGGTCAAAAAACTGGTTCTGACGAGATGGCATAAAGGCTAACACAGATGCATAAAATGCTACGCGGAACGGAAATTGCATTGCCTACTCCATGAAAGGCCAACGTCAGCTTGCTTGGCATGATCACCTCATCAAGCGCTCCACAAAGGGAGCAGAAGTGAGCAGGATCAAAGAATCGATATTGGCCTTGGGACTCTTTTGGGAATGCAAAGGTTCCTTTCTGCATCAAATAGCTGCGGTCAAGCAAATGTTGCGCCGTGTGTGAGGCGCACAATGTGGGCAAAGGTTCACGAAATGACGGCGCACGTGCTTGCAAACCCTCAAAGCCATTGCGCTCTGCGCAGGCAGTGCATTGCCTCTTTGCTGAAGGCAAAAAGCTTGGATCATTATAGATCGCAGCCTCTGAATCGCTCAACTTGGTTTGGTCACTCCATACTTTGGGCAGGGCAAATTGATAAAACTTGACAGAGCGGGACCGACAAAGGCGAGGCAGGGATGTCATGGCGGATCCAAGCGCAAAGCCATCGTGACCTATGATGGTTGGCAACTTCATGCAAGGGAACGATCTGAGACCACACTCTCTTAAAACCCAGCATGGTGGCCAAACTTTGTGCAAGATGAAAAATGGTTGTGCACTGTGATCTCATCCGAGCATTCTGCTAGAAGAATCACAGGTTGCAAGACCAGTGCCTGAAGCAAGGCGTCAACAAATGCCCATCCATTGATGTCTCCCAGCCCTAACCAACGGCCAGCTCGGGACCATGATTGGCATGGCGGAGACATGGTACAAGCAAATTGACTCGGCATCGATGAAGAACAGGAAGTGAAGGGTCCTTGACTCCAGTCAGTGCAGCAATCTTGGCGCTCGGATCCCACACCATGTCAGGTTGAAAAGGCCCTTGTAAATGACAAAATCATGGTTCTTCTTGCACACGCCCAGTGCCAACTCATCACAATCCACAATTACCTTCCGTCCCAGTGAGAAGCCCAATGTGGTCTTGGTGAGCCACTGAACAGCATGACACCACCCACAAAAGGAACCTGAAAATGTGTCACATCCCACGAGAAGTCAAATTCAGGCCGATAGTGTAAGGAGGCTGTCAAGTCAAAGATGAACTTCTTGTTCTCAACACTGGTAGCCAAGCCGGAGCACATGATTTGGAGGCCCTCCCGAAGGGTCATAGACTTTTTGCCCAAGTCCGGAAAACTGACAGTCACACGATCTTGCTGATTCGATACATCGACAAAGCCTTGCCCAACAACAAAGGGGAAAACACCGTAGCTAATGACCTCACCAGCAATGATGGATTGGCCGTCCACGACCAGAGGGAAGTTGGCAGCACCCACATCATGAAGCAAGGAACAAAACTTACTCCTTTGTGGTTCACGAAGAACATCACCAGCAAAATTCAGCAGTGACTCCAGATCCATGGCTCAAGTCCACGAGCAACAGCGAAGGGCTGTCAGCGACCCCCTTATGGACACCCACCCCTCCCTCGCGGGCAGCTACGGGTCCTGGACACGCGTATGCCGGAGCTTTTGGGCTTTGGGCCCAGCAGCTTTGTTACTGTATATATATATATATAATTATCGCAGGTCTTGTGCGCGCTAAGCAGTCAGTTTTCTTAACCATAACGCCGTCTTCTTCAAGGCGTCTTGGGCTCAAATCCTCCAGCGTGTCAGCTGGATGGAGCCGGTTTTGAGTGATAACTATTCAGTTGCTTAGCCTATTGTTTGCATCTTTGAATGCTTCTGTCTGCATCCTTTTATCATCGCATTTGGTGCCTGCACTTTTCCAAGTGCAATTTCTATTAAGCACCTTTCAATATTTACTGCACTAGTAAAACATAACCTTGCCGTCTCTGGCTTTTGTGCAGCTAAAATTATTTCTCGGCTTGGCTGAGCTGTCAGATTCACCAGTTTCACGGACAGTTTCTATAAGAGCAAAGTTAGTTATCTCTTTCATGTCTCCAACCTTGAAGCAATGGCCTCCGACCTAATAGCCATCCCTTTGTTACTAATAGCGATGCCCCTGTTACTAGTAGCTTCTTGTTACTAGTAGCTTCTTTACCAAGCCAAACGATTTGGATTCTGTCGACCTGTCGGTCTCTCCCGAGCGTCTGAGGATTCTTCGGCTCTGCCGGTGAGGCTCATGAAGCCTCCGATGTGGGATGGTCACGGTGAACCCTCGTGAGGCTCATCCGCTTCGTGTGAAAATTGAAATACATCCGCCTATTCTTTCTCTCTTTCAGTTGATTTTCCTTGCAACTAATGGATGCTAGTCTGATTTCCCTCCTTCCAGTGGTTCAAGGGCCTTCAAGACTCACATCTTCTTGGACGCTGGATGGAATGAAAAGCATTGGGAGTGTAATATTCTCGCTATAGGTAAACTCCAACTGCAATCTGAGTATGCTAAGCTGCTAGCACAAAACACAGTGTCCTGTTGTACTGCAGCGTGCATTTTTGCAAAATGCTTCTTGCACACGATTGTCCAGAAACACATACAAGAGGACTATTGACAATTCAGACTATTCCAATTGGCATATGCACGCTTAGACGGTAAATCCTTTCAGTGAACACTCCTCTCGTGGCTTGACACTGGCCTGCAGGTGAGGAGGCGGAATGCTCCATGATTTTGCGAAGCCCGGTGCCTGCAACACCACGAGTTCCATGTGGGAATTCTAGGCGGAACAATCGCATAAACGGTGAGAAAAGCAAAAAGCACTCTTCACAGAGAGCCTCAACAATGGCCAGTCATGGGAAGAAGATGGAAGGGTGTCTCCAAGCGTGTGACGGTGTGACAGCTAGCCAACAAGGAGATGACGGCCTCTTGTATTAGTTTTGTGATCTTCTACGAGCCAAAACGATGTCGTTGCAGAGCCACTGTACTCGCCTGGGAAGAAACGGTGCCCGCACCGGGCGGAATAGGCTTGAGCCAAGAAGCCACAGATTTGTTCGGCCTGAAAGGAAACCATCAGCTGACACACGAAGGCAGCATTTTGTATGTCCAGATTGCTGTTGATATATAGTGCATAATATGCATATACATATGTACGTGTAGATATGCATGCATATTGCATACATATATACATATGCTGAAAGGAATTAACATATGCAACAACAATCACAACCACAATCCACTGTAAAGAAGCTTTGGTTTGTGTTTTTTTGATCCCCTCTACTGTAGCAATTGGAAAACAAACGATCAGCGACCGCAAACGACAACAGTGAGTTCTAGGAGCTGCTACAATCTCTGCTCTAGAGACTGTAGCCTGAGATATAACTATAAATTATCATTCTCAGCTGTTCCTGGCGGACAACCCAGGTAGTTTGGGGAACATCAAAGAAGGCACGGACCAACATTGCCCTCTGGCACCTCATACATTTTGGAACCTGTTCGAGACTCATTTGCTTTACAGTACAAAAGGTCATGGGAGCTGGGGGCATTGCAACAAACATCCACATCTGACCTTGCCCAGTGACGGTGGTGGTGGTCTTTTCACAAGCCACCTTGCTGTCTGGAAACTGACTGGCCGTCAGCTCCTGGAAACCACAACAAACAAAAGCCAGCCACCACTTCCAGTATCCGGTGCGCTTGTGGGGCAAGTCGCCGTTTCAACATGATTGCTGGCATAGATGTCATGACACGGGTCAAAAAGTTGAAGGCCGTAGGGCTGAGCAGTGAATCTTTGGTGCAAAATTTCAACGCAGGGCTGGTCAACCCGGGTAAGGCATGAAACGACAAACATGTGCCTGCGTGAAGAAGCGCACGTTGGTCACCTGATTGAATACCCCCACGGCAGGCGTCTCCACAGCAGTAGATCTCCAAAGCATCAAAAATGCAAGCGAGAGGCATCACCAGACAAGGCCCAATGGCCATGGTAGGGGTCTTTCTTGTTGTAGCTCACAGTGTTGCTTGCTTGCCTGCAAGGCTGGTCACACAAGTTGTAAAACAGTACGATCTATGAAGCACCTGCCAAATGACATATACTATACCTAAACATTCCAGTCTTGCCAAACGCCAGTAAGTCGTGCATTCAGAGCTGCCGTCTCAAATACTCATTGGTGGTTGCTGCTTTGCCAAACAGCGTGCTTGGGCTACCTGCAGCCACATGCGCGTAGTGCACATGAACCGGTGCTTCAGGCCAAAGGCTTTTGCAAAAAATCAATGTTTTGTTGCTAATAGCAAACATTGTTCCGAATAGCTTCTTGCTCCTAGTAGCACGGCCAGGAGCCCCTAGTAGCTTCTTGCTCCTAGTAGCGATGCCAGGAGCCCCTAGTAGCTTCTTGTTCATAGTAGCGTTGCACTTAATGTTGCATTGATATGCAGAGATCTGCAGAGCAGGCCATCATCCCACACATGCCACCGACGATTCTCTGATGCTTGTGTTTCTTCTCGGATGCAAAAATAATTGGACTCCTCACCCTAGGAAAAACGGTTCAAACAGAACTAGGAATGAATGTGGTTAAAATCAGAGGAACCTGCCTTCATTTTGTGACAGGTGTCTGCGCACCGTTTGTCAGAATCAACGAGTTCTGCCAGGGAGCCTTTTGGCAACTCTTCATTTTGAAAGCTGCTACCTGTCGATCGGGGCAGGTTCTACGGAGGGTTCTTGGCACAGAAGATCCTAGCTTGGACATGTAGAGTCAAAATGAGTCAAAGCACGGGAACTGCGCATGGGCATCCGCACAGAATGAATGAGAAGTGGAAACATGGAATGCGCGACCTCGCAAACGACCTGATGCAGCAGCCCTGTACTACGCATAGGAAGTTTACTGGTGAAGCTGTCACAGCTACAGCAGCGACCCAGTGTTCCCAAATGCCACCAAAGCACTGCCCTTTTTGACGAAAGCGTCCGGCTTGCCATCAATCCTAGGCTTGCCATTCTGGATGACATCTTCAGCACATCAAACAACACAAGCACACGCCGAGTGGAATTGCGCTGCAGATTCTGTTTGCCGGCTAAGGTTCCACATAGTGATCTTCTCCGTCCCTCTCACCAGCACCACCTGCACAGGTTCCCATAATAACCGCAGCTTTGCAACATGGAAAAGGACAAGCTCATCTCTGCAGCTATAAAAAAGAGTAACATGTTTGGCACCGATCTCGTCAGACTAAACTTTGTCTCATGGCAAAGCACACATGCCACATGTCCATAATGATAGCAATGGCAGCAAAAACACCCAATGATGCTATCTTTTTTTAGATCATGTAATGGCAGCTGCAGTGGCCAAAAAAAATGTTTGCCAATCCATGTATCATCTTCATCAAGGCCTCGTGATTGTCTCCATCGTTCAGCTTGGTCTCCTTATCTGGTTTGACAGATTTCTGGGGGTTCTAGAAGGGTGCGAGCTCAACGGCATCTTTCCGGATCATTGGTGTAAAGTGAGTGCGTGTGTGTGAGTGTGTGCTGAGTCCTGAGTGTCTGTCAGTAGCAGCAATGGACAATGCTTCACATCTTGTCCTGCTGAAGCTTGCACCTTGCAACTTTTGGGCATGGTGCCCCAAACTCATTGGGAAATCCCACAGCTGGTATGCTACTACAGTATGCCAGTATGCATGCTGTGCTATTGGAGTATGCATGCCGCATACCCTCGTTGCCGCCGATCAGTAGAGTAAACACTTTCTGCCAAAGTGCTGAAGCGAACGCATTTGCTGTTCCTTCCTTGCCATCTGCGGAGAACTCTTCCTTGCACAGGGGTTCAGAACAATATATATAGAACAATGAGTATCAAAAGCACGACTTGCACTGCATCCTGCTGACTGTTGACCGCTAAAGGTATGCAGTATGGATAATCAATGCAACACAGCAGGGCAAAACATGTTGAACAAAAGCACCATCAAGCTTGAGGAGGAAACGCTTGCAATTCAGAAGGAAGGCACTTGGACTTGTATATTACACGAATCTTGGATCGATTGAAGGAAATTGGTCAAAACGTATACATGAGTCCACTTGCCCCTTGCAAATTGAGTGTCATAAGCGAGCACGTTGCCCATCCGCATGATGGCCTGAGTTGGAGTGCTCTGTGTGACTGTGTTCTCGAAAACATAATGGGTTGTGTCAACATTTGCCCGGGGATTTCCTGTTTAACCAATCTTTATGGCAATCTTTGCTTCGATTCAACCGCCCATGCCACCATTATACTCATTACACATCCAAAAGTTTGATTCCTGCCTAAATCCGACCACTCAAGACGAGTTCTCCCATGTTCTCCGTACCCCAGTGGTGAGATAGCTAGCAGTGTTCAGCACGAAAAAAGAATCGATCAATCTTTTCCACGATTTGTCATGATCTTCATCTGCATTGTAGAGTAGCTTACTGCCCCTACTAGTCTGAGACTGCAACTTTGTGATCCCGAAGGCTTCATCCTCATCTTGTTTCAGCTGAGGAGCAATTCGTGGAGGTTGTCCATCCACCCCACGGAAGAAC